CTGCAGTTGGTCTGCCCTCCTGTGGGCCCACCACCAGTAGGGGGGGGCCATGGGGGTCAGGTGTTATGTGGATCAGGTGGCACTCAAAGGCAAGGGTCCTGACGGACCAATCTTCGGTTACTGAAACTGGTTTTAGGAACATGGAATGTAACCTCTCTTGTGGGAAAGGAGCCTGAACTGGTGCAGGAGGTAGAAAGCAGAGATGGCAATTTCGGCACCCAGGATCGATCCGTTCCGAAGACGTCCGAAACTTCCCGTCTCGATACGGAGTTTGTGAAATGTTTAGAAACATCAGTCACGTGACCGCCGTGTCATTGTTCACGGCGAGAGAAAAAACCTATTAAAAAAACCCTGGAAAAAATCCTTGCGTGTTGGGTATTTGTGGGGTTGTTGATTTGAGTGAGTAGTTTGGCGATTATTATTAGTTGAAATGCAATTGTATTAGTGCAACAGGTGTGGGGGAACCGTCCACTGGCCCAATGGTGGAATCCAATTGGACAGCCGAAGGTTTGGAATGCGTGTGGGTTTAGGTAAAGACCGAATCATATCTGACTCCAATTTAATTAAAGATCTTTATGGCAATTTTAGTCATGACATTTCTGTTATTTAGATTACTTCTGGGCAGTGCCTTCTATTGCTGAACTCCCACTAATCCCGGATGGTGGAGCACACCGGATTCGCCTTGGCCGATGGGGCGATTCGTGGATCTGCTATGTAGGACTGGGTTTAGAAGTTGGGAAATCACTACAATGTAATACAGTACCAGCCTAGATAACCGTCAGGACCTGGCGACCCATAACACCACAGAGTCTCAGCTGACACTGGCCAAATCTGAGCTAGTGAGGGCCACAAAGGTTAAGCCGGTGTTTGCCATACCTCAGCGTGTGAGTGCCTCAGAGGCTGAGCCGGTCTTTTACCGTAACTCAGCGTGTGCGCGCCTCAGAGGCTGGGCCGGACTTTGCCGTAACCCAGCGTGTGCACACCTCAGTGGTTGAGCCGGTATTCACCGTAACTCAACTTAGGCAGTCGCATCGGGTCTCGGAGAAACGGAGTCCAGTCAGAGGTTGCAAGAGAGTGTTAGAATAACCCCAATCTCTGAGAAACATGCAGAGGTTAACAAAGTCAGACAGCCAAGAAGTAATCAAAACACAGTTTATTCATAATTAATACAGTAAAACCGGTCTAAGTCGACACTCCGGGACCAGCTTAAAAGTGACGACTTAAAGAATTGACGAGATACACCTAAGTCGACACTTTGGCGACTTATGTCTATCTCGCCGTTTTG